GTGAGGGCACAGCGGCCAATGGGGTGGAGTTGCACAACGTGGAAAGCGTAGACTTATATTCAGCTAAACCCGAGAGCACTTCACCTCCCACCGATAGTGCGGTCTCTGTGGCAGGCGCCGTTCCCGTCAGCCAGCCCAAGTCCTGGGCCAGTCTGTTTCATGATTCTAAGCCCTCTTCCTCCTCGCCTGTGGCATATGTGGAAACTAAGTATTCCCCTCCTGCCACATCTCCCCTGGCCTCTGAAAAGCAGGTTGAAGTCAAAGAAGGGCTTGTTCCAGTTTCAGAGGATCCTGTAGCCATAAAGATTGCAGGTATAGTTAAAAAGATACAAGTCAAAAGCGAAAATGGGAGAAAATCTCATCGACTGTTGAATAAAAAATTTAGTAAGACAATCCAGGTTAATAAACTGAGGTGATAGATTGTTACCCACAGCAGTAGTAGGTTAACTGCATTAATAGGAATTTCTGAAGAATGTCAGTGTCAGTGTCTTACATGTTATCTACAAGTAAAACAATACAGAAAATGGGAGGAGGTGGGTGTCATACCTTTATGTCAAGTGGAAAATCCATGTCTGTTCCTTGTTGTTTTCTGTTGACAAATTACATTTCCATTTCTTGCCTTTTGATCAAGTAGTTCTGCTCCACTTTGTGAATGTGTAGTGGACTTGTCCTGTGTTACAGCTGACATATCTTTGGTATGTTTTGTACTCACTTTGTACTGTTTCTTTTTTATATTTCTTAAGATATAAGAAAGCATTTTGTGAATGACAGAGGATTTTTCCTTTTTAATGCCTATTTTGGATTGAGTAAATAGATTTTATTCAGAGTTTTAGGATAACAAGGTCAGCTCTTGATAGGAAAAGAAGAATTATGAGTTCATCCCAAAGTTAACATTTTTTTATAAAGTGCTATGTCTCTAAAGTGGGACCAATTCATAATAAAAACACAGAGAAATAAAAGAAGCTGCACATGTTTATACATGTGCATCTATATATGTGTATGTTTATACATATCTAAGAAGCAAAAACTGTTTCTTCTGGTTTGGTTCTACCAAGAAGTTTGGTAGCCAGCTCTTCAGATTCTTGCCCTATTAGCCAAGTTAAGATAAGCCACCTCATTTAGGCTTTATATAATATTTTCTGATTTAACATTGTGGAACACCTGACAGCATTCATTACCAGGATGCATTAGTAAGCTACAAAATGGCATACATACCCTTTTATGAATGAGCAGAATTCTATCAAAAATAAAGCACATTCTTATGATGGTAGTAGGATGACAGCAAGCAATACTTAGTGGGGGGAAAGAGCCTTTTATTCCTTATACAAAACACATTAGTTTGAATAATCTTGGTGTTCTGGAGTTCTCTTAAAATGAGAAGATTATTGATAGGCCAACTAACCATCATTATTTGGGCTTCATATCTATTTGTAAAAGCCAGGTGGTTTCTTTAATATAACTTTAAGAGTGTATTCATTGCAGGGGGCCANTAATACATAAACCAGTGTCGTTGCAACCCCGTGGTCTGATTAATAAAGGAAACTGGTGCTATATTAATGCTACATTGCAGGCACTGGTTGCTTGCCCTCCGATGTATCACCTGATGAAGTTCATTCCTCTGTATTCGAAGGTGCAAAGGCCTTGTACATCAACACCCATGATAGACAGCTTTGTTCGGCTAATGAATGAGTTTACTAATATGCCAGTACCTCCAAAACCCCGACAAGCTCTTGGGGATAAAATCGTGAGGAATATTCGCCCTGGAGCTGCCTTTGAACCCACATATATTTATAGACTCCTGACAGTTATCAAGTCGAGCCTGTCTGAAAAGCGTCGACAAGAAGATGCTGAGGAGTACTTAGGCTTCATTTTAAATGGACTTCATGAGGAAATGTTAAACCTAAAAAAGCTTCTCTCACCAAATAATGAAAAATTTAGGATTTCCAATGGGCCCAAAAGCCACTCGGTGAATGAAGAAGAGCAGGAAGAACAGGGCGAAGGGAGTGAGGATGAATGGGAGCAAGTGGGTCCCAGGAATAAAACCTCGGTCACCCGCCAGGCAGATTTCGTTCAGACTCCAATCACCGGCATTTTTGGTGGACACATCGGGTCTGTGGTTTACCAGCAGAGTTCAATAGAATCTGCCACTTTGCAGCCATTTTTCACATTGCAGTTGGATATCCAGTCTGACAAGATACGTACAGTCCAGGATGCATTGGAAAGCTTGGTGGCAAGAGAATCTGCCCAAGGTTATACCACAAAAACCAAACAAGAGGTTGAGATAAGTCGAAGAGTGACTCTGGAAAAACTCCCTCCTGTTCTCGTGCTACACCTGAAACAATTTGTTTACGAGAAGACTGGTGGATGTCAGAAGCTTATCAAAAATATTGAATATCCTGCGGACTTGGAAATTAGTAAAGAACTGCTTTCTCCAGGGGTTAAAAATAAGAATTTTAAATGCCACAGAACCTATAGGCTATTTGCAGTGGTCTACCATCACGGCAACAGTGCGAAGGGTGGTCATTACACTACAGATGTCTTCCAGATTGGTCTGAATGGCTGGCTGCGCATCGATGACCAGACAGTCAAGGTGATTAACCAGTACCAGGTGGTGAAGCCAACTGCTGAACGCACAGCCTACCTCCTGTATTACCGCCGAGTGGACCTGCTGTAAACCCCCTGTGCGCCATGTGTGTGTGTGCCTGATGCCCGCTTCATAGAACATTGACTCTCACTAACTTCCTGCCACTCTTTAGTGGCTCTTTAGAGAGAAACTCTCTTCCTTTTGCAGAAATGGGCTAGAATGAAAAGGAGATGCCTTGGGGTTTGTGCGCAACATAATTTATGTTGACTTCTAACTTCCAAATCAAAATCATTTGGTTGAAACAGACTATTGCTTGATTAAAAAAAAAACACATAAACCCATATTTCTAAAATAATGCTGATTCCTGAGATAAGAAAGAGGAACTTGCATTTGATTCCCAGGCTAATTGCTTAGTAGAATCAATCCTGCACCAGCAACACTTGTAAATTTGTGAAAATGAATTTTATCTTTCCTTAAAAAGTAAATTTTTTAATCCATCACACTTTTCTCCCTCACCCTTTAGTTTTTGATAAGTGATAGAAATGAGCCAGATATCAGAGAAGAAATAGTTCTTTCTTCAAAAGAAAAAATAAACACAAAAAATAAGTTGCTGGTTCCTAACAGGAAAAGTACATTTTAATAATTGTGCAGTGAGAAACTGCTCACGTACACATTGCAGATAAAAGTTTGGAGTCAAGGTGTTAGCCTGCACAGATGGGTGATTGTAGCTTTATTGCCATTAAAAGATTGC